AATTACATAATAGTTTCGATGTGAGTGAAAAAAAAAAACGTACACATTTGTCGGTAGAAAAATAGTGAAAACGAAATCGAGCGAACTATTGATTACCAAATTATTTTGTAGTATTATGGTAATATTTCTTTCAGATAATTGGAGTATCAGTAATGGGTTACTTAAAATAGTTTTTGGTTTAGAATGACTTTTGTTACGATACGAGTAGTATGTACTAGTATTTCTGAATTGTGTAGAACTGTCTTCTTGGGTGAATTCATGTATGTAGTTAAGATTACTTACGGCGATGGGTTTTAAATTTAGCGTAGCTTATATCGGACATCACACTTTCTATACCCCTAGCTACAATTCCAGTAATATTACACTTTATACATATATACCAGTATATTGCGGCCAACTATTACTAAAGAAATGGTTATATAAACTGGCCAACGAGCATGACATATACTATTTTATTTCAAGAGTCGCTAAATAAATCACATCCTATTGCGCCACGGTGTGTGTGTATGTGATGTTGGCGTGAATCTCAGAATCTGTATTCATTATGGGAAATTACTTGTATCGTGGCTAAGCGCACCACGAGTGCAACGCCGCATTATTCTAGGATATTTTAATGTCATTATGAACTCTATGTTTATGTGAAAGATACTATATGGCTTAAGCTTTGAATCGTTTATTTCCTGGAAATTCAACACAAAGTATTTTGTCTAAAAGTTTGTATCTTTTATCATTTTATTTCAACTGCAGAGGAATAAATATACATTGAGTTGACATATATTGGAAAGTGCGTTATTGTAGTCACATGATGTGTTTCCATGGATACCGTATGCCGCGTACAAAAGAAAGGATACGCAGATAAACAAACATGTAATTTTGGTGTCATTCACTTCTTAAATTAATTATTGAGCAACGTGTATATATAGCCTTGTCACATGAAAAAATACTGAAATACGCTAAAACGACATAATTTTGCTTTTTTCGTTTATGTTCATCAATGTTATTATTTGACACTGACGCGCCCACATCTACTACTAGTATAACCGAAAACACAATTACAAACACGCTTGGGCTCAATCACATAGACATGCACAATATTGATCTTTATTTTTTTCAACCCTTCTGCCAGCCAAAGTTAATGGATGACTTTTTCAAGTTTCAGTGATAATTAAAATCAGTCACAGGAATAGTATAATACAGTATTTTTTACGTATTTCATTAAATTTGTTTGCAATAAAACACATTATTGTGCTCGTGTAACTGAAAATACGTGGTGATTAGAGGTCATGGGTCAAAAGATCAATTTGTGTCAAATTGGAGATAGCAAACAACGTGCAAACATACTGTTTTCCACGTAGCGATTTGCACGATGATGTTAAAAGGAGTTATCCTGATCGGCGGGCCACAAAAGGGTAAGTTATAATTATCATTGAATCACTACGTAGATCCGCAAGCACATCTTACAGAGACAATGCCTGCGAAGTTTGGGGAGAAAATGTTTGTTCGTGTTGATACAAACACCGGAAAAACATCGCACAGAGTTTCCGGAAGTTGCTGTAACTCTATCGATTATACAATATAACGTTGTGGTTGTGCTGTCATTGTCAGGTTGCGTGCAGCTGACAGTTACTAATTATGTGCATGATCACTCCAAGCAAGGTCAGCTAATAAACTAGAGCCCTATCTGTATATTTTGTTAAATTTTGATTTGCAATATACCATCTTATTTCATAGCGTATCACTATTTCCATTGATCAGTGTTTGCACACATTGCAGCACACGTTGCAAAGGTCAAAGAAGTCCGCGTTTGATTTGTGACGGACACTACTTGCCACGTCTGTCATCAAATACGTAGCCTACAAGGCAAGTGTGGAGAAAATTACATGGCATTCGTGCGATCGGTCATAAATGTACTGACTACTTGACATCTATACATATTGGTCGTATCGTTCTATTTTCATCGTATAGTTACACACCGATGATTCAATAGTAGTAGCGACCCGATGTGTCTGATTATTTTTAGTGATAACATATTAATCGTAAACAACATGTAGTTTGATTTAAAAAAAAATCAGATTTTGTATCTCAGTGATACATGTTCTAAGTGCGTTTTGCAACAGTATATCCATTCATACAATGCTATCTGTAACATTGAATTCTATTAAAGGTTTGTCTGTTGTAAAAACAATGGAGAACGCAATAAATAGTATGTCTTAACATTTATTTGTTACATACATGCTCAAACAGGTCTCTTCACATGTGTTGCATGTTAAATTTTCAGAATCAAAGCAGGCCGTCGCATTCATACTAGACTGTGATTTAATTTCAACAGGTGGGGAAATAATCCACTGTTTTCGGATGATATTTTTAACTTCAGGTCCGGACACCCACTTCTCTGATTTTTGTGCATAATGTAAGAACGTTAGTTGTTTACAGGGATTTTAATTTTTCTATTTTTACTATTATGTAAAGTCAAGTAAATTAAATCCATTTCAACTTATAAATTAAAATACAGCTCATCATTTGGTTAATGGGAAATCTACAAATTTAAAACAAAACAAAATAGTGAAATTAAAATCCAGCAAAAATTAATACTTTTTGCCAAAAAATAGAGGAATGCTTTTTAAAAGTCTAATTACATTAGAAATGCATGCTTTCATTTCTACATATTGAAAATAATCCTTAGTACATTTCTCACTGAAATTATTTTTATTTTTGCATTGCTAAAAACCATTATACACTTGCTTTTTTTTTATGATCTAATAAAAATACTGTCTGTCAGACTGTTAGTTGTATGTCATCTCAATCTCTCTGAAATTTTTCAAGATTTGTCAATGTGTTTAATGTCATATGTTTTTGTAATGAGCTGTTTTGATAATAAAAAAAAAGTAATCTTTAATTTTATCAGAATTAATCTTTGGGATCTTGAGAAAAACAAAAAAACAAAATGTGTGCTTTCACATGTTCACTATTATTCCTATTGCATCACTTTGCAAGATATGCATGAAGGGTCATCAGCTGAAATCCAGCATAAACAGGAAGTGATGTCATGTCATTGTTTAAAAGGAAAACAATATGTTACATGGGAATATTTATTTAGATTTGTTTTAAGGCAGCTGACTGTCTTGAACTTTTGCATGACCTTGCAAGGTATTCAGGAAGTGACATCAGCTGTGAAATCCAGCAAAAACAGGAAGTG